TTTGAAACAATATTTCTCCTCTGTTAAAACTTAATCAAATCAAACGTGTAATATTTTTAATAAACAAGCGGTCGAAATACTTTCGTTCGTTGGATCGTCATCGCTTTCACACAAAGGGAACAAGTTTTTCATATTTTACCTCAACGTTTATGCTTATATATTGCACCATCGTAACGTTCGCCTCGGCCATGAAAAAGCGGATCGAGGTTGGCTCGACCCTCAACCAGTGAATCACCGAGGCGTTTTCATTTCCGGCTACGTAACGGAAACGCGAGAATCGTGACGCAACAACGCAGGAAGTGTAATGCACTCGTCGAATCTGTAGCTTATAAAAGCGTCCGGAGGAGCCCGTGACTTTTAATAACCATATAAGCATGTTCGAACGATCTCTCGGAGGATTTATTCTACTTTGCCTGTTCGTGAACGCGATCGTTGGATCGCCACGGTTACGAGGGACGTGGGACGAGGACGAGCAAACAAGAAATCCCAGGCATGCTTCCTGTCCCTCGTGTCGCCGAGAACGGCCAGACACACTGGTCTCCTGGTAAGAATTCGAATTCTCCGCGTATTTTTTAGTTCTGTCCTCCTTGACATTTCAAAGTCCCAACATTTGAAATTCCATTGAAGAAAATTCGTAGGAAATTCCAGTGTAGTTCCGTTGGTCTTTCAAATCGAAGAATTATAACATTGACCTGGATAAAAATCTGTCAAATCACTTGTGAAAATAATTATAAAATAGCCGAGGGACCAGCAGCAGTTCAGTGATGGTTGCATCTGGCATCTTTGCACTTCTAACTGACTAACGAAACGCACAACAATTCACATTCATTGCGGCCGAACTAGTTCAAAAGCAGGAAATAAATTTTTAGGAGTGCGCCAGCCGCAAGAGGATACTATGGACACGAGCCAGAAACCAGTCCTCGCCAGGCCGGTCAACTGTTCAGGTCTAACCCAACCTTTCAGTCACTCTACGACTCCCCGTTCAACAATGCATACAGCTATGCGCACGACAGAGCCATCAGAAGCAGAGGGGTCCCACCTGTCACGAAACCAACAGCCACCAGCAAACGCGAGGATCCCTTTACAATCGGGCGAGATCTCGATTCTGACCTGGCTACTTCGCAAACCGCCTTTATTCACGACATAAATAATCCAACATCTCCGTACCACTCTCACTTCCCAGTTCCTAGAACGCCAAGTAGAACGCAATACAGAAGGTCCAATTTCTACGATCTCGTCAAGAGCCAATCCGACTTGATACCGTCGAGCAAACTTCTGACGGCTGATTACGGCCTGACGAGCAGCGAGCCTTCTTTTGGCGATTTAAGAAGACACCAAGCCGTGTTGGTTAATAACGAAGACGATTCGAGGAGTTTCGGGCCGAGGAAAGAGTTCACTATGAGCCAATCTGACTTGATACCTTCCAACCAATTGTACGCAGATTATGGTTTCGTCAACAGGGCGCCATCTTTCCAGGGTGATAGAAGATCAGGATCAAGCGTGTTGGTTCACAGTGAAGAAGATTTGAGGAATTTCGGCGCGAGGAAGCAGTTCACTATAGGTTCCAAGTCGGACGATTATTTTGACGACTCGTTGGGTGACATTGATTCAATCAACGAACTGTCAGCTTTTGGTACTTCAAGGAGATCATTGAATCCTTTGACTGGCAACGAAGAAAGTTCAAGGAGTTTCAGGTCTAACTTCAGTCCATCAAGTGTCAATAGAGAAGATTTGAAGAACTTTGGACTGAATCCTAGGTCTGACAGGTACTTGAGTGATTCCTTTGAACGAAGCAATCCGATGAGCGAATCTGACGAATATTCCAGAATTGAGTTTTCCAAACCTGGGTCTAGCCAGTTGTTCAAAGCCGGGCCTAGGCAATATACCAATGTTCAAACCAGCCAGTTTTCCAGAATCGAGCCTGGCCAATTAATCAGAGCTGAGGCCAAACAATTTTCTAGAACTGAACCCAATCAATATTCCCACGTTCGACCTAGTCAGTTTTTCAAGTTTGAACCTAGCAGATCTGCCGGAGGAGTTGCTGAGCCCAGCCAATATTTAAGGATTCAAGCCAACGAATACTCCGTAGCGGGAGACTCCAGGCTCTCGTATGAGAGAGAACCAAAAGTGACACGACCTCAATTTGTCCAATCTGAAAGGAGCCAGAAGTTGGAAGACTCCAACAGGCCGGTCTACGCTCCGGAAGTGAAGCACAATTCGCACAATCTGCCGGAGGAGTTGAACGTGTTCAGAATGACGCACAAGGTTGGTAAAGACGAGGTTGAAGTTGTTAACAGCAGTAGATGGGAGAAACAGTCGAACGAGCGGAAGGAAGATCAGGCATCTTACGAGATCGATGAAAATAGCGAGCAAGTGGGAACCGAGATGGATGATTATCAGAATAATGAGCAATTGAAGTCTCGCGGTGTGATGCAGCAGCAAGAGATTAAGAGGAAAGGGGATGCTGTTAGCAAGGGTGGTGATTCTAGGGACCAGAGTGGTTTCTCTGGAAACAGGTCGCTGGGTGAAGATTCATCGAACAGTAGATTGGAAAGATCGAAGAACGAAGGCGAGAAGAACACGACAAAGACTGTGGGCAACGTTTGACAGCAGCTTGGCGGTCGAAATCTGGAAATTACGAGAAGACTGGAATAAAAATAAATAACTTCAATTCAGAATTAGAATGAAATTTTATTGCAGAGATTTTATTATTCCAATAGAATTTCATTCGGTGAATTTTTCGAAATTTTGCGATCTGATAAAACGTTATTTATTACTTTGAAGATTACTTTGATGAACAAAACGAATTACGAATGAATATCGAAGGGATTGGTCGAAAATCATGAATAATTTTCGAGCGTAATAAAATCTGCCCAACTCCGGTTCCACGAGCGCAAACGATCGAACGCAAAGTTAGAAAATTCAGATTCACTGTACGAACTTCTTTTTTGTACGAGACATTTCTACTATAAAAATATTTTAGTCATTAAATTACGTTTGAAACACTTGAAACGTCCTGTATATTTTTCCTGCACTGGGTAATTCGCATCGTGGTAAATTCTTTTAAAACAGACACAGTTGTCGCTGCTGTAATTTACTGCGTGTTCTTTTTTTTTTTTTTTTTTTTTTTTTTTAAGAACAAATTTTCGTAGAAAGTGTTTTTTTTCTTTGTCCCTGGTAATAATAATTACTTTGTTTACTTTAACGTCGCGCACCGATGGAAGTAATAATTGATAGCTCAAGACCGTGAATTATTGATGTGTTTTGTAAAAAATAAAATCGTCGACTGTCTTTATTGTTTTTTATTTACCACATCCTGGAATTTGAATAAAAATCCACCGAGGTATTCATATTTATAAGCTTTCGATGTATACGTTTACTGGCGCGCGAAAAAGCCCCGATATGTATAAATATTTGACGTTGGGGAATCCGATCGTTAAAATACTTGGTATATAAAGGGGGAGAGAGGAATATTTATATTTTCATATTAAATAGACAGCTGGTTTCATTAAAATTATAACGTGCAGTGTTGACCCAAGGATTAAAAAATAACTTGAAAAATACATATTTTACGAAGACAACCTGCAGAGTATATTTTCTCTAACTCTAATCTCAAGTATGCAGTTAGAGTGATGCAGCCAATTATGTGTACTAAAACATTATTAAAAAAAATATATATATATATAAAATACATTTATACAAAATATATATAAAATTATAAATATAATAAAATATTATAATATAATAATTATTAATAATTATAAAAATATTATAATTATAATAAAATATTAAAAAATAAATATATATATAAAATATATATATATATATATATATATATTGTGAATACAGGTTTTGCAATGAGATTAATGTAATGAAAGAATGCTTCAATTAATTCAGACGAATTTAATTAATAAAGAGAGCTTTAATAATAATAATAAAGGAAAGAAGAAATACACAGACGCAAGAGTAAAAAAGAGGAAGAGCAATTAAGATACCAAAGGCAACTAATTTCGTTGATAAAAAAAAAAAGAGAATTCTAAAGCTGAAAAGGGAATTCCAGAGCAAAATCACAAAGACACTGGGAGTAATAAAGCAGCATTCAGCAACAACGCGGGCTAATGAAGGCAATAAATGTAACAATGTAATACGAAACGGTGGAGAAAAATACCGCTTTTGCCAGTTTCACGTCGATTT